TGTCTGTCATGCTTCAGCCCCGCTGTCTGCCCCGGGTCCACCAGCCTTCTCAAACCCCCACCCCCAGCACCTTGTGCCCTCCTGCCTCCATGCGTCAGTCCATCTGTTACTTTTTCTTAAAATGCTGTTCTTCCTTCCCTCAGCTAACAAACTCCTACTAACCCTTTAAGACCCAGCCCTGGAGAGCCTTCCTTAAAAGCCTGAGACGTTGTCTCCTGCTGCATGCTTGCCTGGCACACAGCCAAGGTCTCCTACCTTCCATTTCCTGTATTGAATTAGGTTTAGTTCTGTTTTCCCTACAAAACTGTGCAGAAGACTGTGTCTTATTTATTTCTTCATCCTTAAGACTTTGGACAGTGACTGAAATCCAAATGTTTGTTGAAAAATCGACAGACGGTGATCTCTCCAGAAAGTGAATTTGGTTATTTTGGTTTGACTTTAAAAGAAAAATAGTTTGATTTCATGTGTTGAAAGACCTTTCCTAACTGGCTTTTATGGGGAGTACATGACAGCTCTCTTGCACATAACGAGTATCGGAAAGCTGAATGATGCTGTGGTCTGTGAGAAGTTCAAGGATGTGAGCCTGAGTCAGAAAGATGTTCTTGTCAGTTTCCTTAAACATTTTGATTACAAATCAATTAGAAATTAGAAAAGTTCTGATTTGACATATCTAGTCTGTGATTTAGGTTTGCTGTGAAAAGATGAAAGCATTTGATTTCCTTGTGATGGTTCCCTACCTGGGCTGTCCATTATGGTAGCCACCGGCCCCATGGGGCTATGGAGCCTGTGAAATGTGGCCAGTATGAAGGGAGATGTGCCTAAATGTATTGGAGTTTAAAGACACACTGTGAGAAAAAGAATATAAAATATCTCGTTAATATTTTTTATGTTGATTATGTTTTGAACATATATTTTGAACACATTAGGTCAGATAAAATAGTTATTAAAATTCATTTCACCTGTTTTTTGTTAGTTTTTTTGTATGTGGCTACTAGAAAAATTTAAGACATATGGCCTATATTATCTTTCTACTGGCTAGTGCTAATCTAGACCCTTCTTAAACCTCTACCTCTCTGCACTACAGATTATTCTGTTTCCTCTCTTCTACCTCTAAAACACCACCCCCCAAAACAAAAGCACCTATCATCCATCTGTGTTACCTATGACTCTCCTCACCGTGACTATTTATACACTCCTGGTTTGCGTTCCCAAATTTCTTGAAGAGTTTCACACCTGGTTCTTAGTCCTTCCCCTCCCCCCAACCATATTACACTATTCCCCAGTCATTTCAATGTTTATGTAGGTAAGTCTTCCAAGTCTTCAAAGCCTGGCTCCAGGTCCTGATCTCACCTCAGATGACCTCATCCTCCACGCTCCCTCTGCTGTTCTTTCCCCTGGTCGAGCCCTGCAATTGTCAACAGCGATAACCGCAAATCTGCACCGCCACAATCTTGGTTGCAATCTCGGTTGCAATCTCGGTTGCAATCCCTTTCTCCAGCCCCACCTCCTTTTTTCCGGTTCCCTACCTTTAGCACTTGGACTTCCACAGTCCTCTGTTAGCACTGGGGCTATCAGATGGCTCCTGTGTCCTGGTCACTGTCATCTTTCTCCTGACCTCACCTTTCTTCTAATCCCATTGAATTCTGTAGTCCGTCATTGCACCCATTCCCTTCCATGTCCTTTGATCCCGTTGGTGCTCCTCTTCCACCATTGCACCAGCCTGGGAAAACCCGAGCCCTGGCTAAATGCAACCCCCCTCCTTCACTGTGCTCCCACCTGGACAGCTGAGCTGTAGCTGGAGAGAAGCACATTCATGATGAATTTTTAAATTCCTGGGGGTTTAAAGATGCACTGGTGGGCTCTAAGGTCTGCCTGAAATCTCACTCTTTGGGTATTTCCCTGGTCCTTTCCCTCGTTCACTTGATTATTTCACATGCTGCCCACATGGAGAGAAACCTCCACCTCTCCCTCCACCTCTCCTCCCTCTTAGCTGATGATCTAGCTTCTTACTTTGCTGAAAAAGGAGATACTGTGCATTCAGAAGAGAATGCCTTCCAACTTCTAATACTCCTGCTGTCAGCCTACCTGCCTAACTGCATTTTTAACTACACACTCTGCCTTCCCTTCTGCTCTGATGCATAAATTATGCTACCAGCAAAAGCCAGCAACTCCACCAAGCTCTAGACCTCTAAGTCATGAATCATCCATTGTTTCTTTTTTCCTGGAAAATTCTTATTAGTTTATTAACTCACCCCAAACCCCTGCAGCCCTCTCCAGTTAATCCTCCATTTCTGCTTGAATTTGCACTGAATTTCCTCAAGAGGGTTGTCCATACTCCCCGTCTCTGCTTACTCTCCTCCCATCCTCCCTGGAATCCATGTTGGTTAATCAGACTTTCACTTTCTCCACTGTGCATGAACGGCTCTCATCAAGGTCAACAATGACTCTACTCTAATGGTCCATTTCCAGTTCTTATCTAATTTGAACTTAGAATAGAAGTTAGCACAGTTGATCACACTATGAGAAACACCTGGACATCACTCTTCTGTGGTTGTCTCTTATCTCTCTGCCAGATCATTCTTAGTTTCTTTTGCCTCTTTCTCATCTCCCTGACCTGTGAACTTCGAAATGTCCCAGGGATTGGTCTTTGGACCTCTTCTCCTTTACATGTACCTGTATTTCATAGATAACCTCATTTAGCCTCCTGATTTTAAATCCCACCTGGTTGCAAACAATACCTGTATTTCTATGCCCAGACTGCACCTGTCTCCCCAGCTCCTGACACTACTAGACATCTCCATTTGCATAGGCTTTTCTTTTCTTTTTTTAAAGATTTATTTATTTATTATTTGAGAGAGAGAGAGACGAGGCAGTGCAGAGGAAGAGAGAGAATCTTAAGCAGACTCCCCACCGAGAGTGCAGCCTGATGCGGTGCTCGATTCCACTACCCCGAGACCATGACCTGAGCCAAAATCAAAAGTCAGATGCTTAACTGACTGAGCCACCCCGGCGTCCCATGCATGGGCTTTGCAAACTCAATATACCTCTCCTAACCCACTCCAACTGCACCTTGTCCATTCAGTAAATGGCTGAAAACTCATTCTCTCTCTACAATAACACCTCTCATCCATCAACGAACCAAACTGCATCCGGAATCCAACCACATCTTGCTGCCTCCACAACCACATTCTGGTTCGTACGTGGTCTGTGCTTTTTCTGTGTGGCATTTATTAGGACTTGATGTCTTTTTACTTGTGGTTTTTGTTTGGTTATTGACTGCCTTCCCACTGGAATAGAGACTCTAAGAGGTTGATGCTTGGTCTACTTCCTTCACTGCCGTGTCCCAACGCCTAGAACAGTGCCCAGCAGGAAGTTGGCTTTGAATGTGTATTGGGTGGGTGAATGTGGGGAATGTGACCATCTTACTTACAGACTTCTAACAAAGGCTGGTCTCTACAGCAGATCTTCGGTCTGTCATGCCATGGTGTTCTGGATTCCGGTCCTGGTGATGGCTCCTGAGGGTATTGAGGTCTATTTATTCTGTTTAATTATGAAATGAAAGGAGAACTTGCCCCAGCGAAAATCCTTTCCAGTACCTCATCTGAGTAGCTGAGGGAAGTGTTAGTCAGGAGATGAGGGATAAGAACAGTGGAGGCAGAGGCCCCAGGGGCTCCTGAAGCACACCACTGGGGAGTTAACTATCTTTCTCAGCAGGCCGTCTGTGAGTCTAGATGTCAGGCACAGCTGTACTGAGCTCTACATGCAGAGATGTGCCAATGCTGGGCTTCTGCTGACTCAATCCTGAAAACATCTAATATCAGTGAGACATGCAAACTTCACAAAACATTGCATCTCTGCACTGTTCTGCTTCAGGGAAGCTTGTGAGGAAAAGGCAGATATCTATTAATTTAAAATGTTGGTTTGATTAACTTCCTAAAGGTTAATTATTTTGCATATGGAGGGACCTTGGTCTACAAGGTCAAAATTCAAAAAACAAAGGACAGTATTTTACCGCCACCATCCAAATGACAACAACAACAATGACTTGACAAAGTCAAGGACAAATTAAAGTTGGCACCAGGCAGAGGATCTCTGCCGCTGCCTACCTTGTCCTTTCTCCAGTGGGGGAAGTGGCATCTGTGTATTTGTTACATAACAGGAAGAAGGCGGGGACTGTGCATATATTTATTTTGCAATTCATAGACATGTGATAGGAAGTTTCTGAGACTCTTTGCTTTGCAGTTTCAAATATTTAGTGTTTCTATTGGTTTACAGTTAGTGCTTTGTTGAATGTCTGTTAGTAGTGTTTTCCTGCACGGTCTGGCCTGTGCTTTGTGGCGATGTGACCACACCTTGTTAAGGCTCACCATCTGTCACTCAGGTCGTTGGTTTGCCTGGCACACCTAGTCTGGAGAGGTGCCCAGTTTTGTCAGAGATATTGAGACCACATAAGATAAATGCCTTCTAATTGTTCGCACTTACAAAAATATCGGTACATGATTGAACAAAATTTTGCTAGCTATTCTCTCTCATTTACCCATCACTTATGGTACTTTATGCATTAAAAAAATGACAACAACAACACTGACCAAAAATATATTTTGTCTTTGCTCCTGAATGCAATTAATCTGGTTCCTCAGATGGGAGACAGGTGAAGAAGATGAATGATTTTCAGGATGCCCTTCTGAAAGCATGGGCCAGACCAGATGTGGACACCAGGCACTCTGACCCTCCCGCTTTGCCCGACCCTTTTGGCACTGAGCCACAAGCAAGTAATAATACAGAATTAAGGGCTATTGGAGGACCAAAAAAATCATGAAATCAGTTCTCTTTTCTGGTAAAATGTCTAATTTTGTCATTGTCAGAAAGATAACTGTAGAGTCAGTTAAACATATTTGTTAACAACATGACGTTCATGATCCGTTGCTGAAATTTTCCCTTCTCCCCCAATGCATCCATTTTCATGCTGTCTTTTTTGTTTTTGTTTTACTTATTTATAGAAAATTACCTGAAGAGCCCCTGCCTGAGGCCTCCTCATGGATGAGTCATTCGTTGATGAGAAGTCCACCAACGCCTCCACCGCCAGGAATACCTCGGCTGGGGACCTGCGCCGGGAAATCCCAATTGTGCACTGGGTAATTATGAGCATCTCCCCTCTGGGCTTTGTCGAAAATGGAATCCTCCTCTGGTTCCTCTGCTTCCGGATGAGAAGAAATCCCTTCACGGTCTACATCACCCACTTGTCTATTGCAGACATCTCATTGCTCTTTTGTATTTTTATTCTGTCTGTTGACTATGCCTTAGATTATGAGCTCTCTTCTGGCTATTACTACACGATCGTCACATTATCAGTGACTTTTTTGTTTGGCTACAACACGGGCCTCTATCTGTTGACGGCCATTAGTGTGGAGAGGTGCCTGTCTGTCCTCTACCCCATCTGGTACCGATGTCATCGCCCTAAGCACCAGTCGGCATTTGTCTGTGCCCTCCTGTGGGCACTTTCGTGCTTGGTGACCACCATGGAGTATGTCATGTGCATTGACAGTGAAGGGCAGAGTCACTCTCAAAGTGATTGCAGGGCAGTGATCATCTTCATTGCCATTCTGAGTTTCCTGGTCTTCACTCCCCTCATGGTGGTGTCCAGCACCATCCTAGTGATTAAGATCCGAAAGAACACATGGACGGCCCATTCCTCGAAGCTGTACATGGTCATCATGGTCACCATCATCATCTTCCTCATTTTCGCTATGCCCATGAGGCTCCTCTACCTGCTCTATTATGAGTATTGGTCAGCCTTTGGAAACTTGCACCATATTTCTCTTCTCTTCTCCACAATCAACAGCAGTGCCAACCCTTTTATTTACTTCTTCGTGGGCAGCAGTAAGAAAAAGCGGTTCAAGGAGTCCTTAAAAGTGGTTCTGACCAGGGCTTTCAAAGATGAAATGCAACCCAGGCGCCAGGAAGACAATGGCAACACCACCACAATTGAGACTGTGGTCTGAGGACAGTGGCAAGAAACCATGGACAAAAATGGTGGGGCACAGATTATTTGTACTTTGTGCTTGGACTACCACTTCAGTGTGTCCTAAATATGGCACGGAAGGATGCCTCATCACCTGCATGAGATACTCATTGATGATAAGACCCTATCCTTGTACTGTATCTTCTGAAAAAACTCAAAATATGTTGGACCTCTATCATTTCTGTACCTATGAAGAAACCTTCGGTTCCTCCTCAGCTCTTCCAGCAGCACTTCCCATGAATTGTAGAAATTACTCTAGCAAGAACATGTACAGATGAGTATTGGAAAAGGTAACAAAAGCATTTGTTGGAACTTAAGAAGGTGGAGCCGTTTAGCAGGAAGAACATGGGCTTTGGAGTCAGATCGACTCTTATCATTTGCTGCCTGTGCGAGTTCAGGCAAGTGGTTTGACCTCTCAGAATCTCTTGTCCTCACTTATAAAATGTTTAATAGTAATAGTCCATTCCTCCCAGGCTAGTGGTGAGGATGAAATGGGGAGTTACGATATGCTGAGCAATTGGCACGTTGTCAATGCTCAATAAACATCAGTCTTTCCACCTTGAAGTGCAAGAAGAGAGACCAACTTCTGTTTTATAACTTGTGCATGCATGCACACACACATACACACAGTTCTATCATGTACAAATACTGTTATGTGTTTTCCAATGTTGAATGTACATTTATGAAGGTCTTTTTGCTTGAAGCATGAAAGCTTTTCACGGCACAACACCTCTGCTGGAAACATCTGCAGATGTTACAACATCCAACCAGCCACATGTTAGAGAATTATCTCGGGTTGTGAAGAAAAACATTTGGCCACCAGTAGAGGAGTTTCTCGTGGCTTTTCCTTCCTTCTGTGAGAATGCTTGATGTAATGAAAGTCTGTGTGGAAATCCTTTGCTTGATGTAAGTTTTCATGAATGGAACTTAAGTCACAAGTCTGTGAGGGTGATTATGTTTTTGGAACCTCCCCTCCCACCCCCATGAAGTGATGGGTTATTTATAGCCACAGAGTTGTCACCAGCAGCCAGACACAGGTTTCTGCACTTTCAACCCCATCTCCTCCTGAGCACTTCTTTGTGTTAGTCCTGGGAGGAGGCCCTGCAGCAGGGGCTGATGAGAGTTTTGACCACATCTCAGAGGGTTCGTGGACATTTTTCCAAGAAAATCTGTGCAGGGCTTGGTCAATATCTTATTGCTCTGCTGCTCTCCTGCCATGACTTGTGTCTGAGTCTTCAAACAGCATGTCCTGGGTCTCCCCTAGGAAACCCATCATGGCCCATAGACTATATTACCATGTTTTGTTTCCTTCTGCCCCTTCTAAGTGCTCCACAAAAATAGCAATGCTTCATGTGGTCCTAAGGGAGTAAAATGTTCATGCCTATAAATGAACCCATTGGGATTTATCTTAACCATTTGTCTCCAAAGGGTCAGAGAAGCCGTGATGAAAGGGTTCTGTTGCTGTTCATTTCTTCTCCATCCTCTGACTCTCGAAATGAATGATCACCTGTGATCTGATCATGGGAGGGGGGTGGTGGGCAGCTTCATTGGGGGAGATGCAAGTCTCTCCCATCCAGCCGAGCTTGGAGGCAGGTGGCTCTTCAGTGGGTGATGACATCTGATTCAGAAACCAGGCAGCTTGCTTTCAGGAACCCAGATGGGTGTGGAGTGCTGACATTTACAATGATCTTGTTTTTGATGGAAAACAGAGCATCTTCCCTGGGTAAGAACAGAATATGGAGGTCAGAGCGGCCCTCAGATTGCCACCATCCTCCAGGTGCTGTGCTGGCTTCTGGGGTAGGAAAAAGGGATCGGCCTCATCTCATCTCAAAGGGATCTTTGGTTTCAAAGAGGAACCTAAAGACCCCAGGGAACAAGGACTTTTCACCCATGGAAAATACGGTGAACTCATGAGAAGCCTCCATTGATTGCCTTCCTGCAGATAAAGTGGGGAAATTGAATGTGATCGTAAATATAAAAATTCTTCCAAGCTTTTAAAGAGCAATGTCTTGCAAACAGGTAAGATTCAGAGTTTAGCAGTGTTCCAAGGACAAATTCCTCTCTCTTAACTAAACCCATTCCCCAAAGTGAACTATAAGGTTAAAACTAAAACAGGAAGAGTTAAGTAAATGTGCACATATGGAGGAGAGTAGGCTAGATATTTTGTACCCTTTGTGCATGTAGACACTTTGCCTGAGTCATCATAGGCTGTGTGTGGGGGGGTGCATTTCTATGACTTCCCTGGGCCCCAGGAGAAGGTTGTTCAGATACGATTGTCCTTGATGAAGGGATCAGATAATCACAGATTGCCTTCTCTGCCAGACTCCATGATGTGAGCAAGGCCAAAAGGAGCAAGTGGAAACCCCCTGTGGTCTAGAATAGGAGTGAAGGACGCACACGTATACTACAGCTCCAAGATGCACACGAATCAAGGATAGGGGAGTGTTCTAAATGAAGTTGTGTTGAGGTCAAGAGGAAGGTTAAATCCCATGTTTTGTAGTAAAAAAAAGACCATATCATGGAGATGCCTTTTGGTGCTGGAGGGCAGGTAGGATTTCAGAGGAGCAAGGAGGTGGGAAAGCTGGTAGAGCGCAACCTGAGCAAAGGCACACACACCATCACCAGGGAGAAGCAGGGCCAGTCGCTGTGTCTGCCAGGGGCGGGCTGGAGAAGCAGACCTTGGAGACTTATATGGTCGTGCTCACCATCTGGCTCTTCTCTCTTGGATGCTCTGCCTCTGGTCTCCTGGCTTCACATTCTTCAAGACTATTGGAATGTAGCCCCCAGGACTTCTCTCTACATCCTTTCTCACCAACATCCTGCCTTGCCATGGGTGGCGGTCTCAAGTTCTTATCTCCACAGGTCATCCACTGGCCTTGATGAGGTGGCCAGGTGACCAGGTGACCCAGCTCTTCTCCTTTCTGGGTGACACTCTGAGTCTTATGGCAACTCATTATCAATCTACTTCTGAGAAAAAAAATCCCCTAGGTTTGTCTTCTGACCATGCTCTCCCATCCTTCACATCATTCACCTCCTGATGCCCACTGCCTTGGACTTATATATCCTGAGACCGCATGTCTCTGACCTCTGTGTCTGCTGCTTCTAGGTGTCCCCTCTGTGTTGTCTTGTCTCTGTGCTGTCAGACCTCTGGTGGCCCCAGTCCATCACTCTCCCTGTGCCCCTTGATTCTCTTGCCCCCTTGCTCTTCCACCTGCTCTTTGTTTGGTTGCCCCTGGCCCCAACAAATCTTCTGAGTGGCATGGAAAACCCTGGCCACCATCAGTGGAGGGTTCCTGCAGAGTCAAGGTGTCAACAGCTTGGCCCCTCTTCATGAATCATGCCCTGGGCAGCTCTTCCAAACCCTCTCCCTCCTTGTCTCTCTATCGGATGCCTTTCCCCTCACTGCTACTCTTTCCTCACCACCTTATTCACAGATCGCTGGAAACAAATCCAGGCCATTAGGCAATAGCTCTCCAATGCTCCCTACTGTCCAGAGTGACCTGATTGGTGCTGTCCCTTCTTTTTCTCTTGCCTGAAGGTTTTTCTCCCCTTCCACGTTTTCCTATCCATTGGCTTCTCAGCTTGTAGTCTTAACTCCTGTTAGCAACCAATGTTATTTTCTTGTTGCAAGTAAAAAGCCAAGTCCTTATAGTGATCTATACAGGGTTCTACATAATCTGGGTCCCCTCACTCTCCCCAGGGTTAGTGGGGCTCCTCCTCCAGACATACCTGCCTCCTTGCAATCTTTCAAAGATGCCAAGTACACTCGCACTTCTGGGCTTTTCACCATGATGTCCCTTCTACCTGGAATGTCCTCCGCCCAAGTCTCTCTCACTTCCCCTCTTCCCTCAGGCTTCTGGTCAGATGTCACCTCAGTAGGGAGGCTCCCGCTGCCACCCCACACATGGCCACCAGCCTCTCTGCCTCTCCCTCCCCACGTGGCTCAGTTGATGAGCTCCTCAGAGGTCATCACATTGCCACTTTGCGCATCCATCTGCATGCTCGCTTGTTCTGGAGGATAAGTTGCTGGAGGGCAGGGACTTCCTTTTGCTCTCGGCTATGGCCCCAGCCCTGGAGGAGTAGGTGCTCCTTACTTGTGGTGGTGAGATCACGGGCCTCTTACAGGCTCAGGTCACTCCCATCTTAACACAAACAAACCATCAAAAAACAAAAGGCAATCCCTACAATCCTGTTCAGCATCTATCTCATCTCCCTTGCTTCACAGGGAACCTTCTGGAAAGGCTCCTCCACACTTTCTGTGTTATGGTTCACCCCTCTACACTAGCCAGCTGACTTATGACCTTACTGCCACACTGAATCTGGCCCAGCTTGGAGTACAGCATTGCCATGTCTGTAGGGTTCTTTTCTACCTTTTGTGGCACTGGACATATTGACCATACTCTTCTTGAAAATATCTTTTCTTGTGAGTTCTAGCTGGTCATTTTCCCTCTAACTCTCATCTTAAATCCTAGTCTACTAATCTGGAGGTTTACCACCTCTTACCTTGTCCTTCCCGGCTCCTACCTTAAATGGCTGTATCTTCTGTGATTCAGTAGCTGGACCTCTGCTCTCTTGTTCTGCACACTCTCCGTTGGTATCCTTATCCATAATTGCTTACATATTTATGACCCTCATATCCCACTGACTGACTTAACTCTGTTGGGTTCTAGTCTGGTGTATCCAATGACCTAAAGAGCATTTGGACGTGATGTTTGCAAATACCTCAAGTGCACCATTCCTCCTCTATTCTTTTCTCAGTGAATGACACCACTAGTCACCCTGTCACCCCAGCAATGCTATTCCCTTTGCACAGACTGCTCTTCTCTCTTTTTAATCTAGCAAGCCTCATTCATTCATCTATATCCAGCTCATGGATCAGCCACTCAGGGGTGCCTGAGTTCCTGGATGACAATTTCACAGTTTGCTTTCTTTTTCACAAGAATAGAAGCAACTAGAAGAAATCTTCCTCATCTTACCAAC